AAAACCCAAAAAAAGGGGGACCGAAAACCGAACCACAACCGAAAAAATCAAATTGAAAAAAAACTGAACCGAAAATACAAAATCGAACCAAACCAAAATGATTTGGTTCGGCTTTGGTTTTTGGAGTTCGGAAATTGAACTAAACCGAGCCAAACCGAAGTTAGTTTGTGATTAATACCAGGGTAATGATTGATTGAACAGTAACCTTGCACCTGCCAGTTCAGAAATTTGTCCATACTAATTTAGAACCTTTCCCCAATATATGTTTATTTCCTTTTGAGTGTGTACATATATGTATATATGTATGCGTGTGTGTGTAAAGTCAGGTAAATTAGTAGTAAAATCAATAGAATATAAGTTATAATATATAGATAAAGTGATAAGTACTGAACCTGTTGCAGAAACCTAGTTGAAAAATATTTGAGAGAATTAGTTGAGATGAAAGAAATGGTAATTTAGATATATGCATGATGAATCACATGAATGGTTTCCTGAATGTTTGCTCATGTCATGCAGCAAATGCAAAGGAGATCAAATAGATGCAAATAGAATGAATGGCCTTTTTTTAACCTCCAAATTTGAGTCCATCTTGTAATCAGTTTATTCTTAACATTCTAATTTGGCATTTTGAAATTTTCTTACTTTAAAATAAAAATAAACCAAACTGGATCGAAATCGAACCGAGAAAAATCAAACTGAAAAAAAACCGAACCGAAAAAAATCAATGAAAAATCCGAACCGAACTGAATAGTAACTTCAATTCGATTTTAGGTTTCGGCAAAAAACCGAATCGAATGGAACCGAACCCACCCCTAGTTGCTCATAGTTACAAAAGACCAATGATTTTGATTTGTTGATTACTTGACCTGAGTAAAGCTCATATTTCATAATAAAACTCATAAGGCATCTAAGATCAGCACATGTGCCACATAAAAATATCATAATAGCATCAGTAAATAAAACACGAGTAGGGGCACGTAGACCCCGTTGGGCATCCATCGAAACCAACTCGCCATATGAAATTAACATCGATTAACCGCAACTCAAAACCTTCTCTGCCAAGCAAAATAACAGAGGAGACAAAGAATCACCCTGTCGAACACCTCTAGAACAAGAGAAAAAGCCAGAAACTTGTCCATTAACCAATAAAGATAGATAAGCATGTCGTAGAATTTCCTCCACCCAATCAACAAACACATGAGAGAAACCAAAATCTTTTAGAACGTGTAACAAAAAAGACCAGCCTAAAGTGTCAAAGGCCTTTTGAATATCAAACTTGATTGCCATATTACCTCCCACGCATCGTTTATTAAGGACATTCATGCACTCATAAGTGAGAATAGTGTCATCTGAGATGGTTCAATCTTTAAGAAAAACATGTTCTTGAGGGTATACAATCCTGGAAGCAATTGAGCCCAACCTGTCGATAAGAATGCAAGTGATGATTTTGAAGACAATACTGAATCTACACTGGAACCTTTTGGAATAAGAACTACTAAAATTAAAATGAAGAGGAATTTCCCGCCAATGAAAAAAATCTGAATAGCCAAAACCATATCTGGACCAACTGTATTCCAACATACAACATAAAAATAACCATTGAAGCCATCAGGACCCGGAGAACTAGAAGGATCCAAACTTTGAACTGTCGTATACACCTTCTCTGGATAGGCACTCTAAACAAAGGCACATTCTCTTCGTCACTTACCAAATTAGGAATTACTCTTTTAACTAGTCCGGTATCTACTATATCGACGTCCGCATACAAATACCTCCAAGGACCTCCAAGAACCACCTTGGGCATCTAGTTGAGGAAAAGAGTGAAACAGCGGACCGGCGGTTGTAGGTTCTCCAAATGACTCACAAAGGAGAAGAAACTATTCATTTTTTTTTAAAAGACTTGGCCAAAACAACGTTATTTTGAGCCAAGCCCTTTCAAACAAAATAATTAAAAGAAAGTCTTTCTTATGAAGTAAAGTTAATGAGATCCTTTTTAATTAAAGAAAGTATATTTTCTTCCCTCCTACTCGAGATCTCCACCAATCCCATTATTGGGTAATTCTAAATTATAATTCCATCTTTCCTCTAACACCACCCAACCGATCACCATACCACCACCAGCTGCTTCACGCCTCCACCTGTCTAAATTAATCATACTAGTTGTTAAAATTGACATGTATTGGATGAAAATTTTAAATTCATAATAAATTATAGTTATTGTTAATTTGTTGTGATTATTGTTTGGATCATATGTAAGCTAACTTTTTTTTTTTTAGCTTCATCAATTGATATAGTTTTTAGGGTTAATGACAAAAAACTACCTCAAGTTTGGGTCAAATGACACTTTCATACCTCATCTTTTAAAATTGACAATGTCATACCTCATCTTACGAATTTGTGTCAATGTTATACCTTCCGTTAGCTTGGCCGTTTATTTCTCAGTTAAATGCTGACGTGGCTTGATGCGGGACCCATTTTTATTAAAAAATTAATAAAAAAATTATTAAAAACAAAAAAAATCATTTAATATTATTTAAATATTAAAATTATAAAGACCCTTTTTTTTTTTCTTCTCTCTTCTTCTTCTTCCCTCTTCTTCCCTCTTCTTCTTCTTCCTCTTCTTCTTCTGCAGGGGGACGAACTGGGGCTTTTTTTTTTTTTTTTTTTTTTTTTTTTTTGTTCTTCTCTCTTCTTCTTCTTCCCCCTTCTTCCCTCTTCTTCTTCTTCTTCTTCTTCTTCTTCTTCTACTTCTGCAGGGGGACGAACTGGGTTTTTTTCTTTTTTTTTTTTCTGGGTTTTTTCTGTAGGTCCATGGTTATTTCGTGCATCTCCCCCTCTCTAATCCCCATCATCTTCCTGCAACCCAGCAACCCAGAAAAGAAGAAGGAGAAAGAAGAAGAAGAAGAAGAGAAAAAAGAAAAAAAAAAAACCAGCAGCAAACCCGTCCACTCCCACCCAACCCCACCCCCCCCCCCAACCTAACCCGCAGAAGAAGAAGAAGAAGAAGAAGAGGGAAGCAGAAGAAGAGAGAAGAAAAAAAAAAAAAAAAAAAAAAAAAAGCCCAGTTCGTCCCCCTGCAGAAGAAGAAGAAGAAGAAAGAAGAAGAAGAAGAAGAAGAAGAGGGAAGAAGAGAGAAGGAAAAAAAAAAAAAAAAAACCCAGTTCGTCCTCTGCAGAAGGGGAAGAAGAAGAAGAAGAAAAAAAAAAAAAACCCCCCCAGTTCGTCCTCTGCAGAAGGGGAAGAAGAAAAAAAAAACCCCCCCCCCCAGTTCGTCCTCTGCAGAAGGGGAAGAAGAAAAAAAAAAAAATAAAAAAAAAAAACCCCCCCAGTTCGTCCTCTGCAGAAGGGGAAGAAGAAAAAAAAAAAAAAAAAAAAAAAAAACCCCCCCCCAGTTCGTCCTCTGCAGAAGGGGAAGAAGAAGAAAAAAAAAAAAAAAAAAAACAAACAGCAGCAACCCAGTTCGCCCCCCTCACACCCACCCTCTCCTCTCCACACCCATTCCCCCACCCCCCCTCTCCCCCCCTCCCCCCACCCGGACCCCCGCCGCCCATTTTCTCCTCGCCCAGGAGAATGGGTTTTTTTTTTCTGGGTTTTTTTTTTTTTTTTTTTTTTAGGGGTTGTAGATAGTGGGTGCGAGGTTGGGGTGCGAAGGTGGGGAGGTTGGGTGCGTGGGTGTGGGGAGAAGAGGGGGTGAGGAGCAAGGAAAACAAATTGATTTTTTTTTTTTTTTCTCTTCTGTTTTTCTGGGTTGTAGTTGCAGAAAGGGGAAGAAGATGAAGATGGGGAGAAGGGAGAGAGGGCGGGGGGGGGGAAGGGAGATTGACGTTGGTTTTTTTTTTTTTTTTTTTAAATAATTTTTTTATTATTTTAATATTTAAATAATATTAAATGATTTTTTTTGTTTTTAATAATTTTTTTTATTAATTTTTTAATAAAAATGGGTCCCAGATCAAGCCACGTCAGCATTTAACTGAGAATAAACGGCCAAACTAACGGAAGGTATAACATTGACACAAATTCGTAAAATGAGGTATGACATTGTCAATTTTAAAAGATGAGGTATGAAAGTGTCATTTGACCCATACTTGAGGTAGTTTTTTGTAATTAACCCTAGTTTTTATTTTGATTAATTGATGTGTAGAAATTAGAAGTATGAAATTATATTACAAGCGAAAATCATCATCGATCAATTCAGACAACCCTATTCCAAATAGTTCAATTCTAATTTTGGATAGTTAAACTCCAATTTTGGATAGTTTCAAATCATCATTGATATGTTTTTCTTGTATTAACAATGAAACTATCATGATATGTTTTCAAAGAATGAAACCTCATCGTGGATAAAAATTTAGTCTTTGTAGCTTGCAGTATTGTTTGTACAAAGCTTATGAATGGAAAGTTTGTAGTCTATTGTTTAATTTTTCAATGTTATTATCATCGGAGCTTTTATATTGGGACCACTCAATGTTAAAATCCTACATCCCTCACTACTTGTATGCATTCTTCATGTCACATATAAACTCATTTCATCACCACGGCTAACATTAGTTTTGCTAGCGTGATAGGACTCTTTGATCTTTCAACAGTGAAATATGAAGACATTGTGATTTTTAATAATAATTCTGAGAAATTGAGCCTACGGTTACCAAGAAAAGAAATTTGAGGGAATTTTGGCAAAGATTTTGATTTCTTTGGTTTTGTGCAAGTGGAATATTTGTGGTTTTAGATGTTTCAGCCCATAGGAGCTGCTGCCGCTTCCATGATAGAGAATAGAGTGTAAAAGGTAAACTGAAATCATACAACTGTGTGTTGACCACCAATCTTTGAAGAAAGACTATGCTAAAAAGAGAATCTTATTGTAATTCTGGCCAATTGCCTCTCTTTTACAGTATGTAGATTATTCCATCGTTAATAGAAGCTAGACTTTCATTTTATATTTTAACCTGAATATACCAAAAGAGAGTACATCAGGGTCAAAAGAAGTACCACCAGCAGAGACATCAACAGTTATAGATGCAGTAACAGGCATAGTCAGTGCCTGCAGGATTGGCAATGCATGTATGTCCTTGGTCATGGTGTTTGTTAAAGCACTTCTCCCCGCAATCCAATAACGTGCAATTGCTTGGATACAATAACTCTCGGCATCTCTTTTGTGCGTAAACTTGTCACAAGTTTCCATGCTTCAATGCAACTACAAAATTATAAGACAGTTGAATAAGCGCGAATAAGTTTTGTTTTTCACAAAATATAAACCAAATTTTAATTTAATTTAATTTATAAAGCGTAATAAAATATAACATGGTTTGTGTGTGTGTTATTTAACTCAAGCTCCTAACTTAATTGAAGAAAAAGGAAAAGGGGGTAAGAGAGAGGCTATAGAGTACGAAGATTACATTCATGTTTCTTAACTATTTACAATCAGGCATCTCAAATACACTAGTTAAAATAGCTAGTATTGTTGAAAGCATCATGCTAAACTGACTTGCCAAAATAATTTTGGGATTTAACATTTGTTGTATCGTCAAAATCACTATACCTAGTCTTTAACATGTTAATGAAAATATTTGAGATAAAATTCTAGGAAGCACTTTGAATCAACATATGCAAGAAAACACAATGATTTTGAAATTATTATAACCCAAAAGAAAAAACAAACTAAAACTCCAAAATAACTACAAAGGATAAGCCAAACATACCTGAGAAAATAAGAACAAGGAGAATGAAATGGACGAATGAAAATTTAGACATCTCTAGCACTTGTGTTTATTAGCTAATAAAGTATTTGTATTTCACTTTGTGGGATGGTAAATTACAAGTGTCTATGGACAATATATAGGGAGAGAGGGGATTAATATTGAACGAGTATTTTGAGATTATACTATTTCCTTGTACTAAAATCCTAGCTACATTCAAATAATCTATTTAATTTGTTAAAAGATCTTATTGATTTAATTCATAAAATTAATTGCGTACATGCATGTGAACCAAATTTGTAAAAGTATTAGTGATAAACTTCTCCCCTGTATTTGATTCAGGGTTTCCACAAATCAAATATACAAAAGGAAAAAAAATGGAGAAAAACCGAAACAATGCGATAGGATAAACCAAGGAAACTTGAGAAAACAAGAACAAGGAGGAAGAAATGGAAGAAAGAAAATTTAGACATCTCGAGTCCTCGATACTGTGTTTACTAATATCTATTATTTTGAAGACCGTTGGAGCAGCAAGTCCATGGACAAGGAATATATATATAGGAAGGGTGGGGATTATTATTAAACAAGTATTTTGAGAGTATAATATTTCCTTATGCTAAAATCCTAGCGGGATTCAACTAATCTATTTAATTTGTTACAAGTAATATTGATTTATTGATTAAACTTAACCATTCATTTACAATACATTCTATTGTTTTTTGATGTATAATTACTAGAATTACATTTGATTGTGACAATTCATGCATTTTCCTTCACATTCATTTATTAATTGAATTAAAATTCGAGTCAATAACGTTGGCATTATTACCTACGATTTCAAAAGAATTGGGACGTTGGCACTTTTGCAACCATTCCTCTCTTCATTTGATTATTAATTTGACAATTATTTCTTTAATTCTCCAACTTTATATACATAGTAAATGACCAACGTTTTCCTACACACAATGTGAAATCAATCCCTTTCTTTTTAGATTTTGATTCAATATTCTTTGTATGATTGGAATCCTTTTTGTCCACTATAAGCTATTCTCCTTGTTTGTTTTGATGTTCTAAAATCAAAGGAAATAATCGAGTTGTTCGTAGATTCAAGTATTGCAAGTGTACATACACAAGGATCACATATAGGTTGTATCTTGGAGAGTATGGTGTTGTAACATGCTACACCTAGACATTGTCTCCGAGAGGCGAAATCTACTCTTAAGAACAACAAACTTACACATCTCAATTTAAAATCTTATTCTAATCAAGGATCGACGAAGAGCGGTTTTTGCTCTACAAAAAGATAAGTATTTATTTTGTTGTTGTTTCATTATTTTATATGATTTGCCACATCAACGTAAGTTATCGTTTCCTAATGTTTATCTTTTGTAATTTGTTTCATTATTTTATATGATTTAACAATGGGCATCCCTGCCTGGAAAACTAATAGAGTAAATTTTGTGGAAGTTACTTTCTGCCACATGCAAAAGGTGTAGTGATCGCTCATGGATAATTGGTATTTGATTATAAAACAATACAATAATCTTGTGACGCTGCAAATTATAGTAAGGTTGCAACGACTAGCGTTGGTGTTTTTGGTCTTCGGAGACGGGTCATGTTGTGATTTGCTTCAAAGTCCTTGACAATTGCTATACAAACAATATTTTTGAATTAATGCATGCTACATCATTGAAGAACCCAATGATGTACATTATTCATTCGTTACATTAAAAGAAAATACACGCATAATAAAATTCAAAAAATCCAAAATAAAAAGCTATTTTACATTGTTTACATTCATCCCTCATGTTTCTGTACTTTCTTCATGTCACACAAAAATAGAAAAAGCCACTTAACATATATGTGAGCAGGGACGAGAGGCTAATGAGATTAAGGATTGGCCGAAAAATATTCAAGGAAATTACAAATGTGAGACCCAATTTAGGTACAATGTTTTTGTGATTAAAAGAAAAATTACTAATTTCCTCATCAATACCAATTAATGGAAGAAAAAAAAAAGCACTAAAAAATCTGTTGATAATAAATTTACCACATTCATATTATTGAAACACAAATAAAAGAGTACTAATTTCAATCAGCATGTTTGGGATGACCTTAACAATGGCACATTATTCCGAAGTGGTAACAGAATAAAAGAGAACAGGATCTGTAAAATTAATGAGAGACGCATTTAGGCTCAAGGGAAAATGGACCAACTGAGTAGGGACTGAACGGGAGTTTTTTGGTGACAAATGCCTTCACTGGCCTCAAGATCGCACCCTTCTGTCCCGCGTGGAAATTAGTCGGCTTCGAGCAAGAGGTCAACGGTGATGTAAAAAGTGAGACCCTGCACTTATGCGACAAAGAGGTGGTGATGTTCTTGGGGGCTGCTATGAAGAAATAGCCTCTCTTGTCTGTCTTGGCTTTAACTACCATTGGGTTCTTAGAATTGTTGCACAAGAGCTTTACAGTAACATCTGCCACAGAAAAATGAAAGATGAAATCTAAAAAAATAAAAAAAAATTAATAAAAGATCTAAACCCTAAAAATTGGTAATTATGGTAGTAAACATGTGGATCAATAGGCATATTTTCTTGGAAGAGTAATGGAATTAATCATGATCAACTGTTCAATGTGTTAGACAGTGTGTCAACATTCAACAATGAAATCAGTTTTGTGAAATAGAAATGTCATATGTGGTATAAAAATATATAACGAAAGCTAACTTGGACTAACCTTGAAGTGGCGAGGCACCCACGAGGGTGTCAAACCTAGAGTACTTGCAGGACTTGCAATAACACAACTCCTTCAACTGCTATGAATCTCTTTGGTGGTGCCTGGGGAGATGGAGAATGACTAGGGGGTTGAACCGGGGTGCGAGCAGGTGAGGGAACTAGTGCACTATTGGGAGCGCGGTTACTTGGTGGTTGAGCCGGTGCATGGCTTGGTGAGAGAGCCGCTGCTTGGTTTGGTGGGTGAACGATTAGGTGAATGAATTGGTGAACGGTTAGTTGAGTGAGCCGGTACATGGCTTGGTGAGCGAACCGGTGCATGGCCTAGCAGGTGAACCGGTGAATTGCTAGGTGAGTGAACTGGTGGTGGGTGAACCGGAGCATGGCTTGGAGGATGAACGGGAGAGTGGGTTGGAGGGTGCACCTATGAGTAGCTCAGTGTGTGATGGTAGTGGTGGTGGCCATGGCGGTGATTAGGAGGATATGAGCCGGGGAAACTATCGGGTGAAGGTTTTGACCTAACACAATGAAGCTGCTAAATAAAAGCATAGAGAGTTGCAAGAGCATTATAGCTTCAGCTGCACGGAAACTCATCTTCTCTTTTCGTCCTGTACTTCTTTTTCTTGAGAGAGATCGGCGAGAAACTGAAAAGAGAGATATGGAGTGAGGGGATCAAGTGAGTGAATTTATAGGGTGTTTAACCATGCAGTTTAAAGCAAATATTAAGTTAATTAGCAATTTTTGCAATCAGAAAATCTGTCAAGCTACATAATTGAAAGTGATTATTGAGCTGAGATAGTTTGTTAACAATTATCTCCTTAAGTTTTGGAATATATCTGTCTAAAAATTAGACTTCAATAACTCTTTGCTATTGAATTGACTGTATGCGAGCAAAAAGTCTATCAAATTTGCTACATGATTGAAACTTACAGTTTCAACTCTTTTTTTAAATGAAATTTTAAGCTGAAATATTTCTGAAATTTCTTTGAAGTCGGGTGCTGTAATAGTGAGTATTATTTTTATTTTTTATTTTTTTTTGAAAGAAGTACGATATTCATTGCAAATCAAATTGAACACGTACAATATGAGGATAATGTGCACAATGAGCCTCAATAAAACCTTGGTGGGGCTTTCAACTTGGTCAAAGGGAAAAGAGTGTCCCGCACAACGAAAATAACCTATCCTCAAAAGAAAATACATCAAAATTATAAACTTTCTTCAAACAAAATATCCCTAATCAAATCAGGAGGGTCTTCAAACCATAAAAATGATTGGTTACTACCTACACCCATACGAGCAAGACGGTGTGCAGTAGAGTTGCCTTCCCTCGGCATATGGGTGACCATCCATTGAGGAAAAGACTGAAGTAGATAATGAAGATTGTTAATTATAGGCCCTATCAGCAAGCAATCGTCATCTTGGCCCTTCATGGCAGCCAGTACCAAGCTAGAGTCACCCTCGAAGATGATACTGGAATCACTTGGACAACGTTCTTGAACCAATAACATTGCTTGACGTGCAGCAAGTAACTCAGCCTCGAAAGCAGAACTTGTCCTTCCACTTCCACTAAAGCCAGTTGCTGCTGCTATGAGATCTTCTTCATGATCCCTCAAAACAACACCATAGCCACCTTTCATCTCGTGTTGAACTCAGGCACCATTAAAATTGCATTTGACCCAACCAACACCTGGCTTACTCCACCGTTGGACAGGACAGTTGGATTTCTTTGAAGATGACCTGTGCCATTGTTGATACTCCTGCAACCAACTCTCCGATCGGACCACCAATTCCTATGACGACAACCCTGCTCCATTCCACACCATATCATTCCTATTCTTCCACAGCATCCAAATGACCATCAAACATAGCTCAAAGCCCGATGAGGAAGATTGAATAGTTGTGGTTAACAATCACTGCAAAAATTGTTGACCATCCCCATCGACAGATCTAAGACCTAGTCCGCCAAACCACGTAGCCTTTGCCAAACTACAATCCATCACCACATGTTCTGTCGACTCATCAGATGACCCACAAAGCAGACATAGATTATCCACATTCACTTTCTATTTAATGAGATTTGACTTGTAGGTAGGGCATCCAAGCATGCCCTCCAAGCACAAATCTTGACTTTCCCTGGTACATGAGCATTCCACAGCTTCCTCCACAACCTATCCCAACCATCATCTGGCAAAGAAGGCGAGACGCTCGCACCATCCCTACCCGCAGAGACAATCTCCCTATCGACATGATAAGCACTCCGCACCGAGAACTTCCCATGACACTCGTAGTGCCAAACTCGTCTGTCTCCAATTGTCTGGAAGCT